GAGAAATATTTAGAGTATCTAAGAGTCAAAATTATATGAAATATTTGTATTCTTCTATTCGAAAATATATTTTTTTTATCTTAATTTTTGTTGTTTTGATGATCTACGGGAAAGAGTTTTGTATATTGCGCAATATTTTAAATTAAAGTATTTAATAATTACTAAATTATTTAAAAATACTTTGGACATATTTGAATATTTTCTATAACTAATAATTAACATATTTTGAAATATTTTTAAAGTATTATATAAAGAATTTTTAATAATACTAATTCAATAAAAATAATACTCCTTTAACTTATCAGAATATTTTGAATATTTTGAAAAAGCATTAAATTAAAGTGGTATTCAATAAATACTTAATTTAAATTCTTAAATTTGTGATTAGTTTAATAAGTTTATTTTAATCTTTTGTAAAATATTTTAAAATGTTTCGAATATTTTAAATTTATGTTGTTGCAAAATTTTATGAAATGTAAAAAAGCTGTAAAATTATTTATTAAATTTTTCGAAAATTTGCAAAAGTGTTCAAAATACTTTGAGAATTTTGCAAATTTAATTTTCAAATATTTCTCAAAAGTTGCGAAATATTTCAAAATATTTGCAAATTATTTTCGATATTTTAGAATATCGAAATATCTTTCGAAATATTGCAAGTTTAAAAATCTAGCAATAACTTTTAAAATTTTTCACTTTATTTAAATTGCTGATATTATAACTTGTAAAGTGTTAATATAAAAAATACATGTTTTGAAATGTATTAGTACAATATACTCTTGGTATGATCCAGGTACATATTTACAATCCAGCTTGTTTTTGCAATATTCTGATGAATTTTAAAATATTTCTAAACTTTTTTACAATATTTCAAATATTTATCTAAAAAAATATTTTGAAATAATTTGCGAAATATTGCGAAATATTTTTGTGAATTATTTCAATTTTGAGTTTTTGAAATTTTTCGAAATATCTTGCGAATTTTTGTGAAATTTTGTGCGAAATATTTCAAATTTTTGATTTTGCGAAATTTTTCGAAATATTTTGCGCAATATTGCATTATTTTTGTGTATTGCAAATTCTTGCACAATATTTCATACATATAAATTTACTGATGTCCAATCTTAGTTTTAACTTCCAAATTCAAATCTTTTTTGTAGTACTATCAAAGATCATAGCTACTCCTTACTTGGGTCTTCCAAACAGGTTTCGATCATTCTAATTTCTTGGCCTTTTATATGCTGAAGCTTTCATATAAACATGGTGTCACCAAGATTACAGATTCTAAAACCCAACTAATCAACAGATAATCATTACTATAATGCAGACTTATTTTTTGAAAATATCATCTATGGGATTTAAACTTTGGGCTTGCACTTGGTAAAGTGATGACTTATTTATTATTTTTTAATCTATTAAATAAGAATAAATAATTAAATTTAAATTAACAAAATTAAGATATAATTATATAATATAGAATATACTTTGGATTTGTAGTATTGGTATAGTTCAAGACTTAGAAGATATCATATATTTTAATACTATAGTATTAGTTCTAGCTTTTTTTTTTTTTTTTTTTTTTTTTTTTTTTTTTATTCTTTGACGAGCCTGCTAGATGCTTTGAGTAAATATAATCTATATTACAAAAAAAAAATTTCTATACTATACTACAGATGGTTCAAAACTCTGAAGGCTAGCACTACCCAATTACTATTCAATTCTAGGTGTGCCCTGCCACACTGCTTAGATTTTAAATAGATAATAGTGGTGGCATATTTAGGACTACCTATTCCATCTTTTAAGACTTTTTCTATCTAAGTTTGGGTAGAATATTTGATCTCTTATTTTTTTACAAGAAATACAATATATACCATATTTATAAGGAAAAAAAACTATCTAGAACAAAACAGAAAAAAAAGAAAAAAAACAAATGAATATAACAACAAACTAACAAAGAAACCTATTTTAAATATAATTTCATCATAGTAAAACAAAGATAAAAAAAGCAAAAAAACAGAAGTAGGTAGTCCTAATAGAAGCCACCTATGAGAAAAAAAAGTGTACTATTATAACCTGTACAAGGCTAAAAAATTATATAACAAATACAATATCTGTATATCTTTACTGTAAAACTTTGCCTTAATATATTAGTTTCTTTTTGACTCTATGACCAAATCCAAATAAGTCTTTAACTGAGAACTAGTCAATAGGCCTTGTCATGTAAAGTAGTGATATATTTATTTCCAAACAAAACACATGGTTGCAATCTACAAGGTTGACTGAATTTGAAAAAAGTAAACAATGCTGATTTTTTGATGGGGGTAAGCTGTTTTTCTACTTTTTCTGAAAATTTTGAAAAATAAGCAAATAGGTGATAGTGTAGAAGATAGCTCTTATACTCTTTTTAAAGAAGTATATATTTTTTTCCAAAAGTAGTAAAATATAGAGAGCCAAGTTTACTACTGATTTTCTTGTTAGTAGGTAATAAACCCTGAACTTGTTAGCAAGTAGTATATAAAAACTACTTCTAAATAACAAATGCCATCCCTACGGTAAGTGATAAGCTTTGAGCCTATTAGCAAGTAGTATATGAAAACTATCTCGAAATAACAAGTACCAGTTTATGGTTTTTATTAGTCTTATTCTTTTCTTTTTTACTATAATCTACTGTTTTTTAGAAAAAAAGCTTGTTGTGTTTTTTGGTACAAGAGATCATCAGAAAGAGTTAATATTGTTTAGTTCTAGCTTTTTGAATATATAATTTTTTATAATTTTTATAATTTGTTTAAATATATATTTTTTTTATAGTTTTAATTATAATAATAATCTAGCTAAAATATATCCAGCTTTTTTTTTCTTTATCTAGCTAAGTTTATTTATACTAATTAAAAATTTTATATATTATTTCTAACTTGTTATTTGCTTTATTTGTTTAATTAATTAAACTTATTATTTTTTTTAACTTAGAAAAAACTATATAAATATACAAATTCTCATAATTAGATATAATATTGGCAATGTGAATTTTTGCTAAGTTTTTTATTGCCTCTTGTATTTCTTTATTCAATTCAATATCATATTCTATTTTTATCTATTATTTTATAATATATGTTAGCTTAACAAATAGCAATAATAGCTTATTAGGATTTGTTAACTACAATTATAAAAAGTGGATGTTTATTTATACCTGAGTATGATGTAAATCAATTGCTATTTTTATTTTACTTACCTCGAGAAAAATCTATTTATGTACTGAAATACTATACTATTTCTTCTAATAGGCTATTATTATTATTAGCTTTGTATTGTAATAATGTGATCTACTGTCAAAAAAAATATCTATCTATTTAGATTTTATTTCAATTGTTTCTATTATATCATGAAGTAAAGATATAGTAAACCAGATATCTTGTTTACTATTAACACTCCAATAATCAAATATATAGATATTAATTTTATTAGTATCAGAATTCTTTGTGTATATTAAGACTAAATAGAATGACTATTTATGTTTACTAAAAAATTTAGCTTTTGTTTCTCATGATTTTTGATACAAAATTTTCATTTTGTAATCAACAATTATTAATATGCCATCTGAACTAAGTTGTGCAAGATTAGTATTTAGTTAAGTATTAAGGTATGTTTTCTATATATAATAAGCTTGAAAATATATAGTAAATATATTAAGGGTTTTATTTTTTATTGCACTTGCAATGTATTGCACCCCTACTATATCTCAAAATTTTACTAGGGTAAACCTGTTGTGTAACTAATGAAAAATGATCCTCTTGCAATTTTACCTAACCCCAACCCTAACCCGAATACTAACACTAACCCTAACACTAACACTAACACTAACCCTAATTATTATAGGGGTGCACCCTAACTCTAATTATTATAGGGATGCAATGTATTGCACCGTGCAATAAATTATAAAATCCATATATTATTTATAAATAACAATATATATATACTGTATTCTATAACTAATATAATACGTATTATAATGATATTTTTTTTTGACAAAAAAAAATTTATTTAATACTAGCTTAAGAATTTTTAGAGTAGAGTGTTTATACAACATAATATATATCAGTAGATTAGATAAGTTTCGATTTTAGGGTTTTCGGGGTCCTAACCATTTTAACTTAGAAACCCCTGACTCTAATTACTTAGCGTTTTTGAGATATAACACCCCCGGTGAGAGTTAAAATTTTTCTTAAATAATACTGTAAGTCGTTAGCAGTACCGGTATACCGATATTGTGTTAATCCAAAAATCTGATTGTCACATATCGCGAAATTTTTCGGGGTAGTTTGATTGATTACTAAGCTTATTATACGTACTTGTATTTGTTGGAATCAGCATTGCTTATCCGGTTTTTGGGATATAGCGGCTATGGTGTTAACCAGTGTTTTTTTTTTTTTTTTTTTTTTAAATGGTGAAATCTTATCCGATTGGTTAACGCTCGGCGCTAATATCGTTAAAAAAGTAGAGTTGTGTTACACCAGCGTTAAAATCCTTAACCTTTTATAAATTTACTGTGCTATTTATATAATTCATTTAGCCATTATAAATTGTTTTTTCTCTTATCTTTAGGGAATACAAATACTTTATCCTTGTCCTAGAAAAATAAAATAATCCCACTTTGCTAACTTGCTTTTATATAAAGATAAAAATACAATGGCGACGAGAGTGTATATTGGCCGTCTTGCTAGAGACGCCCGTGAACGAGACGTTGAAAAACTTTTTCGCAATTATGGCACCATCAGAGAAATAAAACTGATGAATGGTTTTGGTTTCGTTGAGTTTAGAGACCACCGTGATGCTGATGATGTCGTCTATGCTTTTAACGGTAAAAGTTTTATGGGAGAAAAGTAAGTATAAAGTTTAAAAGAGATTTCGAATTTCTCTTTTCAATCGGAAAAATTGACGGCTATTAAACAGCACAGCTACACGTTTCCTGACAACTAACCAAATTACCACTTTAGAGAATTTTACTAATACGATTTCATTTTGAATTTTTCATAAATTTTGATTTACATATAGATTGATTGTTGAATATGCTAGAGGTGAACGTAGGCGTCGTGATCGTGATGACCGTAGAGACAGAGACAGAGATGATCGCCGAGATAGAGACAGAGATAGGGATGATCGCCGTCGTGACGACCGGGACCGCGACCGTGGCAGGTATATCGCAAATATTTTGGAATAGCTTGATTGTTCATAAACCTTTTACCATTAACAACTCATGTAAATTTATGATTGTTTTTCAATAGTCGTTTCGCACCTCCTCAACGAAATCCTCAATATCGTTTGATTGTAGAGAATTTGTCATCAAGTTGTAGCTGGCAGGTACGCACTTTTGTTCCAAAAATCTATACATTTGCCGCCTGCAGCTTTAGCTACTTGGCTGGCCTACTGGTACCAATCTTTATTGCCCCCGGTTTTCTACAAGATTGATATTGTATTGGCTTTGGTTGTAGCTCTCCTTTTCCCTATGGTTGCTTGATGTGGCCTTTGGATTCTGTCTACCATTTCGTTTAATGGCTACTCTTTTGAACTGTTTGGATAATATATTACTGTACATTCCTCAAAAAAGTCTCAAATGGTACCAAAGCTTTTCGAAAAAAACTGCATGGGGAAAAAAGGACAGAAAACAAAGGGGGTAAATCTGGAAACCGACCATCATTGACTTCCATGATTTGCTATACCCATCGAACTCATCTATCGGCTTTAGAAATGAGCTAGACTAGACTGCATTTTTTGTTTCTTATGCCTGGAAGGAAGAGAGTAGAAGAGCCCATCTTAGTATCTTTTGATTGCCTCTCGTTCTGATTCTTTTGGGCCTATTATTTGGATTACCATGTACTTCTATTCTTGGGATCTACCGGCTCTTGTTCCTTCCATTGGCATTGGTACTTGGCATATGGAAATAACACAAGAGCCCATGAGGATAGTTGAAGCATATCGTCCGTTTACCATAACTCAATCAAAACCTCCTTCCCCTACTCCTCTCCCATTCTAAAAAAAAAAGGATTTGAAGGACCTAATGCGAAAAGCTGGTGAAGTAACGTTTGCCGATTGTCATAAAGACCGCGATGGGGAAGGGTATATTTTCAGATCATATAATTTTTGTTTTATAAAACATATATGTGGCTTGTCATAAATGACTAAACGTTTATAATATTTTTTACATTTTTCAATTTGTGACTTTAGTGTGGTTGAGTTTTCCTCATATGAAGATATGAAAAATGCTATCAGAAAACTTGACGATACTGAATTGAAGGGCAAACGAATTATTCTTCGAGAAGCTCCGGTAAATATAAATTGCAAAGTTTATTTAAAATCAATCTTTATGAAACTGACCGTTTTCAACACAGGATAACGATACTGATCATGATCGTGACCGTGATCGTCGTCGTCGCTCAAGATCTCGTTCCAGATCTCCCCGTCGTAGTTCTCGCCGATCTCCTTCACGCTCTCCACGCCGAAGCACCCGCCGTTCTCGTTCAAGATCCAAGACACCACCTGCTAATGGAAAAGAACATAGCTCTCGTTCTCCTTCGCCTCGCCGTAGTGGTCGTGAAGATTCTCGCAGTCCTAAAAGAAGCAGATCCAGAAGTGGTGAACGGGAGCGTGTCCACGATGATGACAAGTAAGTCGCATTAAATTTCTCTAGAAATTATTAATCAAAATATTAATATATGTTTATCTTTGTTTTTACATCTAATCTATAGGGATATGAAAGATGATTGAACGTATAATCTTTTATATTCGTGTAACTAAACAATATTGCGTTTTTAATATACGTTGATTCTTTCGTGTATCAGATGATCAATTAAGTTTCTTATTTTTAACATCGTATTTGCTTTATTCGTCTCTATCAGTCTTGTTGTTTTGCTTTGTTTCATTTCTTAGGTTCTTTCCTTTGCAATGAAAGTCTTGTTATTTTTATATAAAATCGTTCGAAATGGCAACTATTAAGCCATACTAAAATTTATACAGTATATCCGATGGATTTCGCAAAGTTTTTCTTATTTGTTCTATTTCTGATGATATAAACACGTTAAAAATGCTTGTGATATTACGTGTAGACCTTTAAGAATTTTGTTTCTAATGCAGTTTCTAAAATATTTTGTACGATGTATCGATATAGAAAAACGGATATCAAATGATAGACTTTGAAATTAAGCCAAAGCTTTTAACTTGAACTCGAGAGCTTTTAAAAATAAAGCATTTGGTTATATTTAATATATATTACAGTCGTACTTCTTTAAAGTCATCTATATAATCACAAAATTTTAAAACAATTTACTGTATTAATAATTTTATTAAAAAAAAACTTTATATATAATTACATATTTGTATAAAAAAAATTGATTATAGAGAACAACTGTATTTGTTTATTGTGGCAGATTAAAATGAAATCGGATTAAAATGAAATTTTTCTATTTTTTTAGGAAAATTTAAAATTTT